CTTGGCACAGTGACAGTTTTGTGCCAAAAGGCTTCGCTGAAGGTGCGCTAAAAGCTCGCCAGCTGAAACCAGGTCTACTGTCAGCGCAGGCGGAGCGCAGCCGCTGTAAGCCGAAGATTGGCTGACCGGCGGACAGTGCGGACATGTCACCAAAACCTCACAGGCAGGTTTCCAGAATGTCAGGCACATTAATAATGCAATAAATACCCACAAAAACCACTATTCAACGCAACTATCTGCAATCAGCACATAATTGTATCTCTATATCGACTGTCCCGTCACATCTGATGTCAGATCAAAGGGGACTGGCACGGTTTGGCACGTTTGGCACTTTTGGCACGCGTAATGGAAACCCAACCTGATTTGATTAACACAGCTGCAAACTAATGGTACAACATATTATACTATGACTTTTTTATGCAATTTTGAACGACGTGCTAAACTATGACTTTTTTATTCAATTTTGAACGACATGCCATACTATGACTTTTTCATGCAATTTTGAACGACATACTATACTATGACTTTTTGATGCAGTTTTGAATGACATGCTATACTATGACTTTTTTAATGCAATTTTGAACAACATACTATACTATGACATTTTTATGCAGTTTTGAATGACATGCTATACTATGACATTTTTATGATATTTTGAACGACATAGTGGGCGGCACGGTGGTGTGGTGGTTAGCACTCTCTCCTCACAGCAAGAGGGTTGCCGGTTCGATCCAGGGCGTGGGAGCCCTTCTGTGCGGAGTTTGCATGTTCTCCCCCGTGTCAGCATGGGTTCTCTCCGGGCTTCCTCCCAACATGCTGGGATGGGATCAAAATATCATGCTATACTAGCATGCTAGTCATGCTATACTAGCATGCTAGTATAGCATGACATTTCAATCGACATGCTATACTATGACTTTTTGTGCAATTTTGATCAACATACTATACTATGACTTTTCTATGCAATTTTGAACGACATGCTAAATATGACATTTTCATGCAATTTTGAACAACATACTATACTATGACGTTTTCATGACATTTCAATCGACATGCTATACTATGACTTTTTTGTGCAATTTTGATCAACATACTATACAATGACTTTTCTATGCAATTTTGAACGACATTCTAAATATGACGTTTTCATGCAATTTTGAACAACATACTATGCTATGACGTTTTTATGGTATTTGAAATGACATACTATACTATGACTTTTTGTGCAATTTTGAACGACATGCTAAATATGACATTTTCATGCAATTTTGAACAACATGCTATACTATGACGTTTTTATGGTATTTGAAATGACATGCTATACTATGACTTTTTTTATGCAATTTTTGAACGACATGCTATACTATGACTTTTTTATGCAACTTTGAACAACATACTATACTATGACGTTTTTTTGGTATTTGAAATGACATACTATACAATGACTTTTTTATGCAATTTTGATTGACATACTATACTATTTTTTTAATGCAATTTTGAATGACATGCTATACTATGACGTTTTTATGATATTTTGAATGACATGCTATACTATGACTTCTTTATGCAATTTTGAATGACATGCTATACTATGACTTCTTTATGCAATTTTGAATGACATGCTATACTATGACTTTTTTTATGCAATTTTGAACGACATACTATACTATGACGTTTTTATGATATTTTGATTGACATGCTATACTATGACTTTTTTATGCAATGTTGAACGACATACTATACTATGATGTTTTTATGATATTTTGAACAACATATTATACTATGACCTTTTTATGCAATTTTGAACGACATGCTATACTATGACTTTTTTATGCAATTTTGAACGACATGCTATACTATGACTTTTGCATGCAATTTTGAACGACATACTATACTATGATGTTTTTATGCAATTTTGAACAACATACTATACTATGACTTTTTTATGCAATTTTGAACAATATACAATACTATGACGTTTTCATGACATTTTGATCAACATGCTATACTACGACTTTGTCATGCAATTTTTAACGACTTCCTATACTATGACGTTTCTGTGCAATTTTGAACAACAAACTATACCTATGATATTTTTATCATATTTTTAATGACATACTATACCTATGATATTTATATGATATTTTGAACGACCTACTATATTATGACTTTTTTATGCAATTTTGAACGACATACTATACTATGACTTTTTTGTGCAATTTTTAAAGACATGCTCTACTATGATGTTTTTATGGTACTTGAAATGACATGCTATACTATGACTTTTTTGTGCAATTCTGAACGACATGCTCTACTATGACGATTTTATGGTATTTGAAATGACATACTATACTATGACTTTTTTATACAATTTTGAATGACATATTATACTATGACTTTTTTTATGCAATTTTGAATGACATGCTCTACTATGACGTTTTTATGATATTTTGATTGACCTGCTATACTATGATATTTTAATGCAATTTTGAACAACATACTATACTATGACTTTTTGATGCAATTTTGAACGAGATACTATACTTTGACGTTTTTATGGTATATTGAATGACATACTATACTAAGACTCTTTTATGTAATTTTGAACCACATGTTATACTACTACGTTTTTATGGTATATTGAATGACATACTATACTATGACTTTTTTATGCAATTTTGAATGACATGCTATACTATGACTTTTTTATGCAATATTCAACAACATACTATACTATGACTTTTTTATGCAATTTTGAACGACATGTTATACTATGAAATTTTTTTATGCAATTTTGAATGACATGCCATACTATGACGTTTTATGATATTTTGATCGACCTGCTATACTATGACTTTTTTATGCAATTATGAACAACATACTATACTATGACTTTTTTATGCAATTTTGAACAACATACTATACTATGACTTTTTTATGCAATTTTGAACAACATGCTATACTCTGACGTTTTCATGGCATTTGAAATGACATAATATATTATGACTTTTTTGTGCAATTTTGAATGACATACTATACTATGACGTTTTTATGATATTTTGATCGACATACTATACTATGACGTTTTTATGATATTTTGATCGACATACTATACTATGACTTTTTCATGCAATTTTGAACGACATGCTATACTTTGACTTTTCCTGATATTTTGATCGACCTGCTATACTATGACTTTTTTTATGCAATTTTGAACAACATACTATACTATGACTGTTTTATATTTTGATCGACCTATACTGTGACGTTTTCATATTTTGATTGACATGCTATACTATGACTTTTTCATGCAATATTGAACGACATGCTGTACTATGATGTTTTCATGCAACTTTGAATACCATGCTAGACTATGATGTTTTCATGCTATTTTTAACATGATATACTATGACTTTTTTATGATCTTTGAACGACATGCTACACTACAACATTTTTACTCTCATCTTGACAGCATACTATACTGTGATGTTTTAATGATAATTTTGATAACATACTAAACTATGACAATTTTGAGGGAATACTATACTATGACTTTTTCTATGACAGTTTTAATGTAATAGTAATCTAAATATACTCATGACAGTTTTGATAACATAATAAATTGTGACATACTATACTATATCTATAAACTATATTATGACATTTTTATTGCATAGTATTCTTGACTTTTTTTTAATGTTGATGTTATTATAGTATGACTCTTTTTTTTATATTTTGGGGGCACACTATACTATGAGTGCTTAAATAACATTTTGGATGGCATACTGTATTTTTACCATTTATGATATATATATTTTCCCTTTTTATGACATACAATACTACATACTGTACTTTGACTTTTTAAAAAATGCCATTTCAACAGCATACTATATAATGAGTTCTTCTGACTTTTTCAACATTGTATTATAATTTGTTTATGATATATTTTTTTATGACACACTATACTGGGACTTTTTATGACATAATGTAGTAAGACATATTGAAGATACACTTTACAATGATAGATTACACTATAATATAATGTCTGTCTATGTCTATTTCACAATGATGTATTTTTTAATGATATTTCCTTGTTATACTTCACTCTTATATTGTTGCAACAATTTTCATGGCACACTATACTATTATGTTTTTAATTATCTCTTTATGATATGATCTTTTACAGGATACTATACTGCTATACTGCTCTATACCCCCAAAGTTTATCATTATTATCTCACGTTTCTTTGGTCTATCCCTTTTATTTAAAAAATATATATCTATTTAAAGCAATATTAAAAAAAGAATTGACTGTAGTTGTAACCATTGCACCCAGTCTTTTTAGATGAAAACATATATTATATAAAATATAATGTCTACTTTTACACACGGCGCAGTCCCCATTGAACAAATGAACACATTTGCTTTTCTCCCCCACATTCTCCCTGCTGTGTGGGGTTTTTTAATGGATACTGTGCAGCTACAGGCATTTTTATAACCCTTTGACACAGCTACATTCCTTGTTCATTTCCATAGTCAGATACTAATAATGACAAAGTATAATGTGTTTATGTCCTCATTCTGCCAATTCTCAAGACATGCTGGGAGCATAATTTGGTTTGGTATGACATCTTGTGGTGAAACACTTTACTGCAGCTGCTGCTGTGGCAGTACACTGCAAAGAGATGTCATACAAAAAGTCATACTGGTATTAATTTGCATCCATGTGTGGTGATAACACCGCTCTTACCCGGCACACAAAAAAAAAAAGTGAAACTGGAACATTCCCTTGGTGGCGAGCTGAAACTCAGTTGTATTTCTCATGCTTTTTGAGGACAAAATGTCTTCCAGAGAGAATACAACAATACATATATTATTTTATTTGCATGTTACACGGTGATAAACACAATTTTACCATTAGGATTCTGTGTGTTCCAAGCTGTCTCCAAAAAAAGAGGTTACTTGCCCCGACATCTCAAGTCACATTCAAATACAGAACATTGAATTCAAACAACTTTATTTTGTGTTATGAACATTTTCTCATATACCTTTATTACATATCATTTTTTTAGAAACTGACTGCAATTACCTTATGCCATAATAAAGTAAAATAAAACAGAAAAAAAACATAACAAAAATGGGACATTGCTGTGTCATAATCCATGATTGAACCTTAATTTCCCATGACAAAGGGAAGGGAAGTACAAACGTGATAGTTACATTTGCTTTTTAAATCTTTAAATGTTGCGTTGTATAAACACGATCTTATGGATTTGCTGACTTTACAACATTCTAGTGTAGAAACATCACACTGTATATACACACAGAGAAGGAAAAGAAAAAAAAAAGAATCTAAATTTAAAATAGAGGGTTACTACTGTAACCATAGCTCAACGAAAAGGAGAAAGTTAGCTGTTTGGCCAACTTGTCATGTATCTCATGCCGCATGTTAACTTTTCAGGTAGGTTATTAATAATGAACAGAATCAGGATCAGAATACACACGCGCACATACATAAGCCAGTTTTGTACAGTGAAGCAATGGTCATGTTTTGAGGCAATGCTCAAGAGTAAACTAGGTAGCAGTATCTACAGTCTTCAGTAGATATCCACGTCTGTCTACAGGGGGGGGTCGGTGTTGTGTCCATAGGCTGGCTGTTGGTCTCTTTGAGCAATGGAAGGATAGTAGTACTTATTTCTTTCTGCTTTATGGATAAGACAGAGCTCCATGGCTTTTACATAAGTGGTCTTAGTATCAGTCAGTGCTTATTGGCTGGTTTTAACCTGCATGGACACACTTGGACATCCACATGAAAATCACCTGAATGGTAGAAAGTTTAGACAATGACAGTCAATTTACTGTAGCATCCTTGTAGGATTCATCACTGTATTTTTCTTGATGCAGTGAACTCTATGTGTGATGCATTCCAAGCAGGTTAAAATGAATGCCGAGAACAATTTGGAGATGTTTGACCCTGCTGTGGTTGTCTGCCAGGGTCTCCTCCAGCAAACAAAACAAATAACCAAAAAAAAAAAAAAAAATGTTTGTCTGAGAGTCTGCCCAAGGCCAGCCTTGCTCTGCCCTGAGTTTTTTTTTTTCCCTTACACAACACATAGTGAGACAGACTGACTTACTGAAATAGACATGTAGCACAGACCACTCTCATGCAAACTGATCATGAAGAACTTTTTTTCACTAAAGCTTCCAGATCATTCACTTCTTACTACAGTAAGGAGATAACGGTTGCTGACAAACTGGCATCCCCATGTACGGGTAGCCAGAGGCTTAAAAAGCAGTACGAGAGTCAGCAGAAATACCAATGTAGTAGAAAAACATCATGAGTCAAGTTAATCCACATTAAAGTGGATACAGCAGAGTTGTTCAGTCGTAGAAAATCAATTAAAAAATAAAAATAAAATAAAGCAAGATGATGACAGGATAAAGCAGCGTTCTGATCACTTCCTAGACTGAGAAATCTGATTGTAAGATATTGTTTGTGTTGTGGTTAATAGAGATGATAGACACATTGTTTATTTTAACTGTTTAAATGCTTCAGCTCTGTTTGAAATTTTGGCCTGTTTCAGTCTCTGTGCAGCTCTGCTTATACTGTTTCCCCTACATGGAAGTTAGACTGGATCAGATGGCATCACCAATACTACAAAAAGTCACACAACCACAGCCTCAGAAGCATTTACAATGAAAACACTGGGGACAATTTCTTTAATGACAAGGATGACAGTAATTACATGTGTGTTTTACAGTACTAGTACTATCTCAGCTTGGTTGTTAGAAGAGCAGAGACGTGAACACACATCCAGTCGAGAAGCTGAGCTGGGCACCGAAGTCCGCACATTATTAGTCACCTCACAGCAGGTCAAAAGAAATGGCAAGAAAAGGCAGCTAATAGTGCACCAGTTTCAGCAATTCTTTTCACAACAGGAATGACGTCTGAGATGTTTCCTGAAAGAACTGCACTGTTTGAAAGGTCTTCTTCTTTTACAAAATATTGGCATTCAACCATTTTGCTCATTAGGTAAAAAAAAAAAAATCCAGTGATTGGCGAGGTGTGATGGGAAAATTTGCTGTAGGACATGTAATATAATGGTTGTTAGAGATGCCAATATCAGCACAGTGGCCTTGGTGGCCACTGAGGAGAATAAGCATTTGTTCGCAGCTCTCACATTGAATTCCTGGTACATGGCAGAGCATTACAAGCTAAACATAGCATTCCATTCCCTATAACATCATTTAAGCCAGCACTTATTATATCATCTCAAGGATAGGTACAATAATAACTGCACAAAACTATCTTCTTTTTATGCTTTAAAAAAAAATAAAGAAAGAAAGAAAGAAACAGAATTTTTCTAATGGGTTTCGGTTCACATGATAGAGCAGGGTTGCCAGTTCAAGAGATCTACAAGTATTCATCCTCAACAAATTGCTACCCTATTCAGAAACATGGACACATAAAATTTGCCTTTTCATATAGTATAAGGACATTGGATTCAAGTATATATATGTACACACAACTAAAATGAATGAGGTAAAGACAGAAAAAAATAACCTCAATATCAATATATTATGAATTTTTCTGTATCATTTCATATTAAAACACGCACACTTCTTTGAAAGAGAAAACTAAAAAGTAAGTCATTCATTGGTGTCATACATTGTTATCCAAATTCCAGCAGTATAGAAGAATGATCCTAAAACTCATAAACTAAAAGCGAACACTGTATGTGGTACAGTATATGCAGCTAAATGCGGTGCAGCCTGCTGTGGAGCAGAGACAAACTGCACAGTATGGTTGGTTGGTTGTCGAACAAGCAACATACACTGCAACAGCTTCCTCTGTTTGCGGTTGTTACAGTGGCAGAACAAGTTGCCTTATCATAGAGAAATACAAAATTTTACTATGTACAGTACGCATCATTATAACCTACTGTGTTTCTTTTCCTGCTGCAAAAGAAAAGAGGAACTATTTTGGAATAAAGGCGAGTGGTAGCAGAGTCACCGAATGAAGATGTAGGTTATCCAGATAAAACTGGATAAACTAATTCCCTCAGGTTTGTACTCCGCACGGTTTAGCTCAGTAGGATCAAGTCGATTCTATTCACTGCATCCTCGGTTTCTGGGCTCGACGGCAACAACCCCAAGTGCTGCATCTAGAAACAGTGTCATTGATTGGACAGATATCCGGCTAATGCTCTGTGTCTGTGTTTCAGTCTAGTAGCATCAGATTATGGTAGAACAGACTTTAATATCAACCTCTAATCTCCTGACACGATCAGCTGCAGTGTTTTCCCTTTGATTTCTGTATGTGTTAGTTTCAAATCTATATAGTTTATGTATATTTGGCAGAGACTTTGCATGTTGCTCATTAATGCACTGGTTAAACACTCGGTTAAATCTACTATCTCAGTTAACATAACGCATCTATGGGACGAAGAAGAAATATAACTTATGTCTTCAGTATTTCTAGAGACAAATGATTGTTGGCATCCCTGTGAGTGGGTGCCTCTGCTTTCCCATGAAGACAAAAAAAAAAAAAAAATCCCAAACCTGTTCCAGACCCCGAAGACAAGATATAGCAGAAACAAAGAAGTGCATACGAATTAAAAAGAACAATGCAATTCTTTAAAAGAGCACTGTTTGCTTGTCCTGTCCTTCATTTCACTTTTTTTGTGGTTCTTATAACATTATACTCATAACCCATCACTTTCATAATATCTGTAAGCAGTGCCCGAGAGCATGTAAGGTTTTTGTATCATGATGCAAACAGTCTGGGGGTGGGGGGGCAGGAGCAGTAAAGTTGGTAATAAGGTAGCAATAAGGATGTCGGTGAGTTGGAGAGAAGGAGGATGAGGAAGAGGAAGAAAGGCCAGGAGGGGGGAGAAGTGGAAGAGGAGGGCAGTGGTATTAACACTTGAAGAAAAGGCAGGCGAAGGAGGCCAGCAGGAGCCACAGTGATTGAGCTACACAGGCAGAGCCGTTGATATCTCGACCTGTCCCGGGTCCTGCAAAGTGGGCAGAGACAGAGGGGAGTGTTAATGTAGATTCCCTGCCAGAGAGCTCACTCAGACTGGCATACCATCTGCAGAAAAAAAATAGGATAGCAAACATATGGATATCCACCACTTTGGTTTTCTTGAGCATTCACACAGATAATTGATTGATTGATTGATTGATATTTTACATTTATATGTTACGTATGTACTTCCTCTGAACCAGTGATGACAAACTTTGAGAGGTGTTTGGTAACATCTGGTGGCCATGTTGTGCTATTGCCTTCCTTGCTGTGATGGAAGCTCAAAACTAATTCATGCTTCAGAGAGCACAGAAGTGGCATAAACTGTGGAAATATAAGTATGTTGCCCCTGGGAGTGCAATGCACTGCAGCTTTAGAAAACACATTCAAACAGACAAATAGGTGTGAATTTCAGGTGAAGTAGGGGACACGCCCCCCTCAATATTTATAACGTGCATTTCTATTCTCCACAAAAAACATTTAGGTAGCACAGGACTTTTATTTTGACAATATTACACCATAAATTGCTGCAGAAAAAGCACAAATTGGTGCACAAAAATTGATCAGAATGCAGGAAATTAAATGTTTGATGCTCCAAGTTTTCCTGTGGAGGACCCCCAAACCCCTGTTTCATATGTGCCCTCCCAAATGTTGAAATAAAAGCTTCACCCTTGAAAAAATACAGAAATGCTGCGAGTCACACAGAACACAATGGAAAACAACTTGTGTTTCTGGGGGACATGAAAAAGCGACACACATGGGGGATACCGTTGACAAATTTCCAAATCCTAGAATGGTAAAGAAATGACCCACCTTATCCTCCTACCCCATGCTATGACTGATTCGTACTTGTTGCCTTTGTTGGTTGGAGAGATAAGGTTTAGGCGAGAGGAGTAGGATTGGTCAAGGTTAGAGTAAGAACGTCAGGGTAAGCCAGGCAGAGGCAGAGTACGGCAGAATAAGGAAGGCCGTTCCTTCACCATCCTAGGATTCACAAATTCATATACTGTTGTCATGTGGCTCTTGAAGTTACTTAACAATGTATTACTTTTGGTTCAATGTTCTGATTGTATGATTCAGATATTGTTGCAGTTATTTGCTGTTAATCTAACATTAGCCTTATGCCGAATACTAGGCTACCAATTTGAATTTTGGTACATAATATCTGAATGGTTCAACCAGAACATTAAAACAAAACTAAATAAGAAAAAAGTACCCACAATCTTAGCTGAATTTCATTTGGTAACTAATTTTTAATCTAACTAATCACCCTTGACAGACATTACTTGATCTGTCAGGTGGCATCCACATAAATGCCAGGACCCAAAATAGTCCAATCAACCTGGGGTTTGACCCAGGGAAAACTGCAATAGTAATCATTCAAGGTTTTTAGTGATCTCTTGGGACATCGAAATAAAAAAAGTAAACTATTAGTGGATCAAGGTAAATTCAGGGCTCGAAATTTGGGGCCAAATTGGCAAAAAAATTGGTTGTTGGGTAGTAGTACCCCAAATACAAGTACAATACATCAGAATATCCTCTTGAAAGGTGTTTTACTGAAAGGGTTGACCCCAAACATGTTGGAAAAGATGCCAGATTTGTTGGTTTGGTGTACGTAGACCCTCCAATATTAACATTATTTCACCCAGAACAGGTAACTGTAAAATCTTAACACTTTGCTTTTGACCTTGAATTAATAATGTTCCAATGAATCCATGAAGATATACCTTTAATACATGATGCAGGAGGGTATCAGGACCAATAAAAACTATGACACATTACTATTGCAATTTATCCTTTGTTTGGCCATTTTATGAGTTAGATTGACTGGACTAGCAGAACATGGAGCAGAACATTGCACTGTAACAAAACAATCAATGTTATTCACTTCAGCAGCCAGTGGTTTTAATGTTTTGGCTGATCTGTGTTAAAGCCAGTGACTGGTTACATCCAGTGGCTAAAAATTGATCATGAGACTAGAAGGTTTAATACATATTACAAATACTAAACTCTTTATGAATATACCTTAACTAATCTTCACATTCTTACCTTTGATTTTTATGCATTGTAATACTGATTTGACCATATTTGGTATATTGGCTATTACGGAATACACAAAGCAGGTTGTAGTCCTTTTTCTGTAACACTTTACTTGAAGGTATAAGAGTGACATGACACTGTCATAACTATGACATGACACGGTCATGAACCTGTCATGAACATTATGTACATGTCATAAATGTTTATGACTGCTGTCATTAAGTGTCATTCGGTTTTTGTAATGACAAGTTGACATTGTTTGGGTTGTCTTGATTATGACAACTTGACTTCTGGCATTACTAGAAGTTGTCTTTGTCATGACAACCTGACATTAACAAGAAATGCACCTCTTTTTGTGTTCATGACAGTTGACATAATGATTGATACAAAGAAATCTTCTGGTAATGTCATCCTGGTTAATGTCAAGTTGTCATAATAAGGACATCCCAAACAAATTTAATGTCAAGTTGTCATTACAATGACAACTTCTGGTAATGTCACTTTGATTAATGTCAAGTTGTCATAATCAAGACAACCCAAACAATGTCAACTTGTCATTACAAAAACTGAATGACACCTAATGACAGCAGTCATAAGCGTTTATGACATGTACATAATGTTTATGACAAGTTCATGACGGTGTCATATCATAGTTATGACAGTGTCATGTCACCCTTATGTTAATCTCTCAAAACAGATTCTGCAATCTACATTGTAGAATCTGTCAGCAGCCCTGTGTGAAAGACGACTAGAGAGGGGGGCAGGGCGGGGCTTTGAGTCTGAACGATGCTGCGCTTTAGCCAATCACAATGGAGGGGGCGCAGTGCGAGACGTGCAGGTGTCCCCAGGAAATGTGTACCTACAGAAACAGCAAGCTCTGCGTCCATAGCACGTCCATAGCGACCGCTCCAGTAATGCCATCTCGTCAACGTGAAAAAAAATATTTTTTCCGGTGGATGTCTTAGTTACAACATGATTGAGCTAACTGGAGTAGTTTCATGTCGTATCCGGCAATGGGAGGCTTTTAACAGGTGACGTCCTGATGTTACTGTCCCTGTCAGCTGCAGCCACTGATGCTTTCTAGACATCGTGATTTCCCATAACTGAATAAATACCACACATAGCAACACAAAACTGCTTTGCTAGCTCAATCATGTTGTAACTAAGATATTCGCTGGAAAAAATATTTTATTCACGGACCGTTTATTGAGTTATTACCTTATTTTTATACAGTCTATGGTTATAGACAATGCTAACGGCTAACGTTAACAGCTAACGGTTAGCCCTGCTAATCTACGATAACCATATTAATTACGTGCACACAGAAATAGTAATGTTTGTTCAGTCATTGTGTTTATAGACTTAACAAACATTAGATTAGTCTACATGGTGATATAGTGACGTGAAAAATGTGATATATAGCTAAACTCTGCTGGTTTTCTACCCGAAGTATTTGTAAACAACACGGTGATTCCCTGGGGGCACCGCCGGAAGTGAAGGGCGTGAGGCCCCTTCACTTCCGGTTAGTCGAAAAACTCTGGGCTGTGCCTCTAGAGGTAAAGGAAGAATTTTTTTTTTTTTTTTTTACCAATGGATTTCCAGATTGCCCTTATGTAGACACCTTCAAGTAAAGTGTTACCCATTTTCTCCACTCTGATATTATTAAATTATTCAACAGGAAATAACAGTCTGAATAAAAGTTACTAAGCATTCTTCCATTCCACCAAGCTTAATAGACATTGAAATGATGAAGATAAACATTAACGTGAGTGTACTTTTGCCCCATTTTAGGACTTTTTAGGGTGTTGAAAGTGGATTTGGATAATCTGAGAACATATTCAGAGTAATCTGTTCCTTTGAGGTTACTCCCATCACCCATATACCAGATGTCACCTTCCCTCTCCAGCCATATTCCTGGATTCCCATGAGGGTTCAGTTAAATTACTCTCACGCAGAGTTGTATACATTGTTCGGCAAATGACTGAAAATTCTACACGGCAAGTTTCAGTTCTGGTTATAGTTTCCAATTGTTCAGCTCTCGCAGTGAAGCTTATAGAAAAGCACACATGATTACAGCGAGTTTCCTCCCTGCTGGTTTTCAATGATTCAGTGAGGAAGTAGGTTAATGGAATTAACACCTCAAAGTCATTCAATCTCACCTTGAAACTCTCAATGATTTAAATCATCGTTTGCTGTAGAAGTGAAACTATAACCTTGCTTTGATACTTGACACTCAATACTGTGAAGTATGAAATCCTTAGAGGCGTCAAGGGAAATGTGTCATGCTGATTTATTTATGAAAACAGGAATCTCCTATTTTGGATTCAAACTGTGAATCAAATGGCAGCAATGTCTATACTCACTATAGAGGAAAAGACTGGCATTCTGGACACCCAGTCGGTTCGAGGCCACACAGGTATAGTTCCCATAATCCTCTTCAGTGACGTTGGCAATCACAAGAGTAGTTGTAGTGCCAAGAATCTGGATATTGATGCCCTGGGCATTGGACAGCCTGGAGAGGAGAGACAGACCGAAGGGGTGCCATTTAAAGTAAATTGCAAAGTAATGAAAATCCAAGGACTTTGGGGAGTTAGTGACATTTTTGGTAAAATAATAGTGTCTGCAGTGACTGTGCAGGTAAAGGAGACAGGAGACTTCATTAGAGCTTAATTAACCAACAACGTATGCTGATGTTGTACTAAAAGAGACTTTTCTTTTTTTTGGAAAAAAAGTGTCATACTTGTGGTGTAAAAATAGATTTAAACAGATTATCAACCTTACACCAACATGGCACTTTTCACAACATGGCTGACAGGAAACAGCTGTGTTCTGACTGGTGAGACATCCCAGAGACACAATACTTCTGCCTCTAGCATGTACCGTCATATTAAATAGGTTTTATTTTAGTCTCTTCACAAAATGACTTAATGATGCATTCATTTTGTCGACATTTTACATTTCTGCTGTATTTTACTTTGTACAAATTACGTTCCATTTAACTTATATTTAATGTGGCAGTTTATGCAAAACCACTACATACTGAAAGCTGTGAAGGTGACATTTGAAAGCAGCCAAATTTACATATCTCCTGTCTGTCAGGAGGATCAATTAAAAAAAAAAAAAAAAAAGTACTCTTGGTTCATACTGAATATTACAGGTCTCAAATACATATCTGCCACTACACTATGAACCATCCAGACCCCTCAGGTCATCTGGGACAGGTCTGTTTCATGTCCCCAGAGTCAAGACTAAACATGTCGAAGCAGCGTTTAGTTTTAATGCACCAAGTATCTGGAACAAACTCTTAGAGAACTGCAGGTCTGCTGCAACTCTCAGTTATTTTAAATCAAGGTTAAAGACTTTTCTGTTTGTTGCTGCCTTTAATTAAATCAAATATTAATATCTTACACTGCACTGTAACTTTTATTCTTGTATTTTATACCTGTCTTATATTTTACCTTGTTTTTATTTTCTATTCTGCAGCTCTTTAATAGCATCGTGTTTAATCGTGTTTAATATCCTTTAATGCGTTTTTTCACTTTGTTGTGGTCCTTTAAATGTTTTATGTAAGACACTCTGAAGTACCTATTTGCCAAAATGTGCTATATGAATACACATGGCTGAACAATACACATAAAAAATATATATATATATATATATCACACTAATTTGGACAGACATTGTGATTGTGACATGAGTTGAGATTTTAGTTGAAACAGTAATTTTGTATATTGTCAAACTTTAATTAGTAGCCCAGGCTATTACTTGCTTAAATAACTCAACAGGCTTATATTCAAGACAGGCCTTTAATTCCTTTTACACAAAACTGTTGCTCAGCAAAGTTGGGAAATACGATAAAATTGTTAATTTGGACCAGTATGAATATTACTTGCATAAAAATCAGGCTTCCAATAACATATCAATTATGTGTTATGTTATGGCACTTGTTTTACAGCTCCCGGCTTACCAACACAACACCACGAAAAACACTTTTGATTCTGTTGATCGGTGGACTCTTTGGGACTTAAGAAACATAAATAACTTACAGGGTAACTGAGGAATGGACACTTATTCTGACTTTTCTGACTTTATGACAGCTTCAGAGGAACAGAGTCACCACTTGTTTTTCTGTCATACCGGTAAATCTGAATGAATTACGGTCATCTCTGGTGCTCATGGTTTCGGTAAAATGAACCGAGCTAATAATGTGTAGCATTTCCATTTTTACAAAAGTTTAAACATTTAAAGTTGTATGATCTAAACAGCTAACTAACATTAGCTCAAGTGGGTAGTCAGCAATCCGGTTTTACACATCCAAAGAACTTCCATAAAAATGAATTGCTTGGCAACCAGACCAGGCCTCTAATTGAGACAGGCCTTTATTTGCCAGTGTAGCCACACCAGGCTAGTAAAAAAGACTAGGCGTTTAAATGGGACAAAGCTTTTAATTGAAGTTTTACAGTTACTTCCCTTACTTCTGGAATATAATCTGTAGGCCGGGATCCAAAGCATATCAATGCTTTATTTATCACAGTATGTTGTGACACATTTTACCTTCATGAAAAAATTGCAGCTTCTGTGATTCAGATATCACTTGGTTTTACTGTGCAGCCTTAAAAATAAACTTGTCTTGCCTTACAAACAAATAACAGACCTCGAAGAGCAAATCTCAATAATTGCAAAAGACATGATTTTATGTACTGTGTGTGTAAAGGTCTTCACACAGCTAACAGCATTATTCATATTCCATACAGACGATCGTACTTTCATACTGGAAATCACTTCGCAGTAGCAGGCATCAGTGTCATGTCAGTGAACTCTTTGGGTGTAGGCGTTGTGATTGTTGTGAGGGAAGATCATCCTCTCTCATTTTGGAACAAATCTCTTTCATTAACAGTCTGACATTGTGTTTACCAGACAGCAATCCTTGACCTTTGAATCATGTGGTGAGCAAAGAAGTTTGTATTTATTCATTTATTTATTTCATTGAGGTTTGTGAATGTGAGGAAAACACTGCCTAGGAAATGTCTGGATGGATGATTTCTATGTGGTATTTGTTCGTCATTGTTCTCTTTCATTTCTTTGGTTGTCATCATCCCATTTTCAGATGGAAGATTAGTATTCTGCTGAAGTCCTTCCCTGCACTTCTGGGAGTCTTAATGACCACCAAACTTCTGCCAATCAATTATGTCAACCTTGAACCCCTTTCAGCACAAATTAATCAATACAATACGCTGACTCAGGCTGTGTACCTCGCTGATGAACTGTTCCTTACATCATCACAACCAAATAAAACTCTTTTTAATAACACAGCCCACATAATGGATTCTGCTTGTTCTTGGCTGATTGAGCCCTTTTGTATCATGAATGAGGTGAAGTTCATTTAAGGCGCTTCAACTTAATCCTGCTTAAGTCTGGGTTATGTGGTAATCGGAACTGGAGCGGGGGGGAGAGGGAAGTTTGTGCTGACACACACTTGGCTGATAGAAAATATTAACATAAAAAGGAAAAACGCACATCATGGCACAGCATAATTTGGGGCTCACTGGGGACTTGATAAAGTGCTGAGGTCCTTCCCATAGGGACACCTTGGGAACGGTGGCAGTGTGTGTGTGTGTGTGTGTGTGTGTATCTGAAAGGCAGAGAGCAAGAGCTAAGGGAGGGCAAGTGCACCAGCAGTGTCCCCACTTCATCTAAAAGCAAACCCCCCTCCCACGGTAAGGCCAGCAGCAGATATATTCTCCAGTGTGTCTTCATGAGAGGTGACTGCACTATTAAAAAGGCCTGCCTGCCCAGAGAGCATGCTGAGAGACCCAGATAATACACAGCACTACAGGGAGCTGAAAGCAAACAGCTTTTTTTACTATAGATTACAGCGCATGATTGTAATGCAGAAGCAGGGGGATAAACTGACCTAAACAGGTCAAAAGAGATAGAACTCTCTTTTGTTTTCACACTGGAGATTTCACGTTGGACCTTTATTTAATTTTTTTTCACACATGCTTGGAGTTTAAATACCAAGCCACAGAAAACTGGAGCATTAAAAACAGCAAACTGGATCTCCGGCCCCCAAAGTGTGTCTCCTTTTCTATTAGCATTTATCAAGCTCGACATTTCTGCTGCCCATTTTAACTTTTAACGCGTTTGGCACGAGCAGATCTGCAGCCGGCAACTTCACTCACTTCTGATTTCAAGTTCATCCTCAAATATGCCTGTGTCTCTGCCAGCTCCCTTCATCTGGCATAATGGACTGGAATACATTATCAGAGAAGTTGGCAGAAATCGTGCACGTCTACCTTTTTTTTTTTTTGGAGGGACGTTTTTCAAGTGTTCTCACCATATCTGCATCCTACTTGTCCTTCCTTGCAGGCAGAGGGCAGCAGTGCTCCAGTGGATATCTCCAGTGATCCCGACTTGATGCACAGAGCCTCTCCGTTACATTAAACCCTAGATTGAAATGATTTGACCCCTCTATTTGACAGGGGGCATGCAGTGTGTGCACGCAGGGCTGCGGTCGCAGGCCGGCAGAGATGAAAGTCCAGTGCAAATCATCAGATGGACGGATTTGATTCTGTAGCGTGTGGGAGCATCTAAAGTAGGTTATCACTGCCAGAGAAAGTGACAGGCCTGTTATGATTCAAGGCCGATGATAAATGAAATCAAGTGGAGAGTCCTGCTGAGACTTGTAACCCAGAGATGATTGAAAACGGCTCAGTGCCTGTGACAGCCACGTATCAGCTGACAAAACAACAAACATATCTGTCTATCACGTTAGCTAACAGCTCACGTCGGATTTTGTCATGTAATAAACATGGGAGACGTAATTTATTGCACAAAGAGCAGGAGCAACCTACTGTAAAAGATGCCTTAGTAGATCGACAATGATTGACTCTGCAAACTCAATACCAGGTACTCTTATGAATTATGAGGTTAACAAGAGAAAGTGCGTAAAATTGCACAATATTTCCTCTGCGCACCGTCAGATTTGTAATTCTTACTGAATCAGTCAGGCTAAAGGGGCAGGCAATTTACAGTCTCATCCAGATTCCATCATGGACGACCAGTGAGAAGAGCCAAAAGGGGCAGGGAGGGTCATGACAGCCAGGTAGTAATATTTTTCAGTTATGAACTTCTGGCCAGCTGCTCTCGGATCATGATGTATCGGTCTCTACAGAGGCTAATGGAGACTCTGAGATCCTGGTGAAGTCACAGATGTGGTGAAGCAATGATTCATTTATGTTTTAGAGGATGAGCTCCGCGCTTCCATGTGGGTTTGTGGATATTAAGACTGACAGAGTGGGGATATGCAATGCACAAGGTTAGGTGAGTTAAGCCTCTCCAGTCAGTGGAGGAGAGAGGAGCGAGCTCTGCAGCCCAGTGTGTGTACACCAGCTTGTGCCAAACAGTTTGTTCGAACTCTGAAGTGTTTACTCCTTTAGTTTGGTTTGTTTGGGCAGGTGAGAGCGATGCTTTTCAAACTTGGCACTAGATAACTGGAGCAAAAAATGTGTGCCTCAATGCTATTCCAAGAGAGCTGCTGTGTGATTTGTTTGGGGTAACATAACCCATCGAGAGGAAATGAAAAGTTGGAAGTTGCCAAACTGAACAGGTCTGGACCAAGAGGCAAAGATTTCCTGTGTTGTCGCAGTATTAATAAAACATTAACATAGTGTGCTTGGGGTATTGGAATAGTTTTAATGCTAACTTCACTCCCCACATCAACAAATCAAAAACAAAATATATTAAAAAATATAGCAGGGGATTAAGGAAAACAATAAATTAATGTCAAATACAGTGAGACTTTGCAAAGATAAATCCTGCAACTGAAGGGTATCAGTGATTAAAACATGAAACATGACACTTTGTCAAAACACCGTTAAAGAAAGGGATTAAAGAAACAAAGAATCAGTGCTAATCAGAAAATGTATAAATGATCAAAGTGTTGTGTCTGAGGCTTAAATAATGAGAGGTGACAATCCAAATCCATCCTTTCTAATGTATCTCCCCGTCTTCTCACGTTTCAAGTGCTTTAACTAGTAGGGACCAAAATGGTGGGGGACGTAAATTTGTTAGTTGCTAGTGCAGGTGTGACCAGTAAGGGTGCAAAGTTCTGGTTATTCTGTTCCAGCTGAGAAGGGATTTAATTAACTCCTTTATCGCCAACATGGAAAATGGCTTGTTTCGAATGAAAAAAATAGCCATCAAGTGCATAATTAACACCCACTTTACAGGGTTCTTGTTTTAGAAAAGTCAGCCGCAGACTTTGCTTTCAACCAAATTATGCAGCTAATGTTATCTAACTAGTTACAGCTGGTAAAAATCTGCAGGCAGAGTTGTCATTTCAGCAGGCAAAATCAATATTTGCCAGCTGCAGATAAAAATACTGCTGCTGTCCATCGCTGTCTGAAACAAAGAACCCCTACTGCTTAAAAAATAGTACCAATTTTATGTGATAAATCTGGCTCTGTTACTGCAAACTGCATAACTAACATGCAGATTTCAAGGTGTCCACTGATAACCTGTGTGTCAATGAGGTTAAACTGATTAGATGGGAACAATCGCAGGAGCCAGACCTTGATAATCAGGTAAATAAGACACAACAGGCTACAGAGCACTTGCTTTGATTCTTGGGGAGGGGACTAAGAAATTAACTAGCCAAGCAGGGATAAATGATATTATTATGGTGCATTAACATCATCATCATCCAAGAAGAAAGTGCAATAACACCTTCTACTGGCGCATAGGGAGAAGGGGGCAAAGAATAGGCACACAGCCAAAATCCTCCAGGGGACAAAACAACTGAGATAGATGGCAGTTGGAAACAACAGATAATGCAAAAATATTTCAACGACCATAAATCTTTCTTTTTCGAGCACTGGCGTGATAGGCCTATTACTTTAGAGACCATATCTGTGATAACACTTGTGACACTCCTCCAATATTTTCCTCCCAATCTTGGGTGAACTTTTACTGCTGAAGTTTGGGTGGGAGTAAAACTGCAGATCATGACGCTCTGTATGTGCAGTTTTTTTTTCCGTTTTTTAATCATTAGCCGTTCCTCTGTTCAAGTCTCAAGTCTCTGACTCAGGTGGCGAGTTTGCTGCAGAGGGCGGATCTCTCTCAGGTTATTAAATGATAAGTCTTGAAATGGAGTGACTGGGTCGTCACTGCCTTTGAATGTCATTACACTTTGGTCCTCTTCAAGTGTCTCCCAGATACATGCATGACACTTAAATTGATCGTTTTCGAATGAACATCTGTGTCTGGTCACACAAATTGTGATTTCACAGGAGACAGTATAGTGCCTGGAAGCTGATTTCCATTTCGCTGGAATTACTTGTGTTATGAGAAAAGGGGTTATTGAGATTTTCACTGACTACAGTATATAAATTGCATCCAGGAGGACACCCAGTCTGTTCTCCCTTTTCTCTTCTCAAAAGAAAATCAGAGAAGAATCCACTGCTGTCGCATGCAGTTATGATCAATTAACAGCGGAGTACCAGCCTACTGAGTGATTAAGTGGGTGATTAGTCATTATCAAACTACACAGATGATGTCATCAAATTAACATTGGGATGTGACAATGGGACCACTGTGAGGGCAGATTTGACAAAGGGATCAAAGAGCTCCATTATAGCCACTGAGCAAAATGATACGGAGCACGCCTGGCACAGGGAACAAAGTGATGAAGCTGCTGCCACATTTGGGAGATGAGGAGGAAACTACTCTGGAGAGAGCATGTGGAAAGTTTCTGACCCAGATCACAGACTGGACCTCAGAGTAGTCCTGTTGTTTGAAGACAGCGCTGAGATGCGTGACTGTTCAGTGTAATATTCACCAAATATTAGCATAAGGAACAGTGTTCAATATGATTTTTAATTTAGAAAGCAATGGTGTTCATTAATTGCTCATTAATTGTGCTCATAACAGCAAACAGTTTGTTTACAGCTGTCATTTTCATGCCTAAGTAAATTCAATGTAAATCATTGTTTTGCCTCATTATTTTAATGGCTGCAACATAAACAAAGTTTGTTCCTTGCCTCCAGGTAAGTCAGGTCAAGTCTATTCCAAGGGGCAGTTCATCCCCAAATCAAAAATACATATTTTCCTCTTACCTGTGGTGCTATTCGTGAATCTAGATTGTTTTAGTGTGAGTTGCAGAGTGTTGGAGATATTGGTCTTAGAGATGTCTGCCTTCTCTCCAATATGATGGGACTAGATGGCGCTTGACGTGCGGTGCTCAAAGTGCCAAAAGAATACATTTGAAAAACTCAACAGCAGCGTTCCCTTCCAGAGATCATGACGTGGTTACTCAAGATGTGAGCAGTTTGATTGAGGAACTATTTTCTGTCTTCTCAACTATAAGTACACTCGCCGTGTGTTTCCTGCACAGGAGGAAGCGTGCATCTACTCGTGGACAAGAGGCCTGTACTTGTGACAGCGCAAGATGTAAACATTAATGGTGTCCTTCTCAGCTGAGCTGTAATGTTAGCTAACTTAGTGATAGGTGAGCTAGCAGTAGATGCACCCTTCCTTCTCTGTGGGGGGTGTGGTTTGGTAGTAAGAAAGTAATTCCTACATGAAACTGCTCACAACAAAGTCCGTGGAATATCTTGAGTAACCAGGTCATGACTGCTGGAAAGAGACATTGCTGTTGAACATTTCAAATGTACTTTTTTGGTTCTTTATGCACCACAAGCCAAGACCCATCTATTTCCATTATAGTCAAGAAGAGGCAGACATCTCTAATACTGACATCTCCAACACTTGACAATTCACACCCAAACAACTCGGACTGATAAATAGCACTACAGGTAAGAGGAAACATGCCGTTTTGATTTAGGGTGAACTGTCTCTTTAGGGTTATTTCTGCAACCTATCATCACATGCACCAGCAGGACTCTATAGCACTGATCACAAATCAGCATGTTTCAATACAGAATCCACCAAAATAAACCTTAAAGTAGGTACTAAGTTATGGTACTGAAATCATGACACAATTTTTCCCAAACCATTGCAACTCATATATACAGTAAAAGCTTTTGTAGTGAAGGCTTATCATAAAGACTTTGTTGTTTCCAGTAATCGGACATGTAAGAGAGAGACGTTTTTCCATCCTGGAAAAGTTACAGGAGGTAATTCCAGTAATAAAGGAGCTGCAGACCATGAGGGGTGCCAGCAGCTTTGGTGGATCAGTCTTACAGTTGATATGGTTGTTTGTGATGGAGGAGGCTAATGGCTTGTGCTCTATTTAATGGCTTGTTGACTTGTTGTGGCGTATGCATTTGAACACATTCTCTTAGTCCTTGACTGGGATAAAGCAAAGAAAAATACACAGAACGAGGCTGAATCAGTGTCTTAGTGATGATCCATCTGGCGACTGCCCAGTGTTTCTATCTGTTTTTCATGTTCTTCAATCAGAATTAAGACACTGGGTTTTGTCACCTCATCATCATGTACACACCTCTGTACACCTGTGTATTTGTGACATGGATGCTGGGAGTGCAAATATGTGTCAGGTTTTACCTTTTTTCGTCTCTGTACCATTCAAACTCTGGCGTAGGCACAGCGGTGGCGTCACACTGCAGTGTCGCTATGCGGCCCACTTGAGTCTCTGAGCTCTGGGTTTTCTTTATTGTCGGAGGGTCTGCAGAGTCACATAATGTTGACATAAGTTACATCTTAAAACCATTAACCAAACCAATTCTCACGCTGAAGTGTTAAGATCCTCCCTAATAAAATTATTTCGCATGGCACTTGTGTCTTCTTTCAATTTGTCTTTGAAATGCTCAGAAGTCCTTTCCTTAAAAATTGAATCAATGGTCCAACGTGAAGAATTTAGGGGCAAAATCAGCAGAAATGGTATATAATCTTCATAACTATGTTTTCATTTGTTTATTTGTGCCATGGTGTTTCTACAGTAGACCAGAGCAGGCAAGCCAAACACTGGCTCAAGATAGAGCCATCTGCATTTTCACGTTGGCTGCTTTACTTGTCCTACATGCTAAGCATATAGAGGAAGTTGCAGTTCTGCAACCTCACCACTAGATGCCACTAAATCTTACACACTACATCTTTCATGTCATTTGGCCAAGTATGTCTAAATAGGGTCAATGGAACAAAAGGTGAGCTGTTTCATATAATAGCATATGCTCTGTATTAATCTCACTGAAAAAAAAAATCTTGGATAAGGTCAAGTTGCTTCATTTTGTTGTGTAAAATTTCAATCTATCCGAACGTCTTTAAGCCCCAAGAACTAAAGTCAGACATATTATTTGGGGCCAGACTTAAAAATGTAATCAGTGCTAAAACTTCAAATTTTTATCTTTTACTTTATTAATGTCTTTCTTTTAAATGCTCTGTTTTCCCTTTCCTAAAAAAATGAGTTAAAGGTCCAGCATGTAGGATTTAGGGGCATACTGTATACTGGCAGAAATGGTATATAATATTCATAACTATGTTTTCAGTAGTTTATAATCACATGAAAATAAGAATTGTGTTCCTGATTCCTCAGAATGAGCTGTTTCTATCTACATACAGAGTGGGTCCTCTTCCACAGAGTCCCCCCATGGTGTTTCTACAGTGGCCCAGAACTGGCAAGCCAAACACTGGCTCTAGATAGTACCATTCACATTTTCACGCCAGCCACCCTACATGCTCTTACATGCTCCTACATGCTTAGGACATGGGGGAAGTTTCAGTTCTGCAACCTCACCGCTAGATGCCACTAAATCCCACACACTAGATCTACAATGTCAGTTGGCCAAAGAGGTCTACATAGGGTTATTGGAACAAAAGGCAAGCCCTTTTATATAATGACATATACTTTGTATTGAATCTCACTGAAAAAAGAAAAGAGAAATGGATGAGGTCAAGATGCTACATTTGCAAATCCAACACACTAGATCTTTAATGTCATTCAACGAAGTATGTCTAAAAAGGGTTACTGGAACAATAGGAAAACTATTTCCTATAAGACATATGTTCTGTATTGAATCTCACTGAAAACAAAAATCTTGGATAAGGTCAAGGTGCTATATTATGTTGTGTAAAATTTCAATCTATCTTAAGCCCTTTAAGCTCCAAGAGCTATGATTTGTGGGAAAAGTAATCAGTGTTAAAACTTCAAATTCATCAAGTTTATTAACATTCATCATAAACACATAATGATTTCTCCAAACATCACAACGGCCAGAAATATGTCCGATGTGGATTAATGCCCATTTTCCATTTAGGATTAAAAACTAAGAAATAGTTTAATATAGAAATCTTTATCATTTCATACAGGCACTTAGACTTGGCGAAAGTACAAATTGGGCAACCAGCCAGACGTGATTTGTTCAGATCAAAGAGAATCCTATAACTCCTCTGGGGGGGAAGTTGGTTTGTGATGTCTCATGAGCTGTTCATCAATCCTCAACAGCCAACATATGCATTACACTCTTCAGATCCAACATGGACCCCTGACAAGATGTAATTAGGTGATCGTGTTTTGAAATGCTAAGTGTCTCTTAAATGATGATGGTAAGTGAGAATCACCATGGAAATGACAGTTGCAATCACAGAGAGATCGTTCTCTGTCTACCTGGGTTCGTCTTGAAAAGACTGAAGGGTGCTCCAAAACTTTCAAGACGAAGCCACCACTCTCTGCCACGCTATATTCTCCACGTCTCTATGCTTAATTCCAATCTTGAATTTCACAGCCTACACTTCTATCTGTTGAGTGTATCATCTTGTAATATTTCTGTTATGAAATATGATGAAATTATTGATCATTGTTGAGTTTGGAAGATGGTGAGTGCTGCAGTGTGTGGCTACTTACAGCTGACAACCACGTTGACATATTTGACATCAGGCGTGGCGACGTCGTTGCTGGCCTTGCATTCATAGCGACCTGCTTGGTTTCGCATGATACCTATAATATCCAAGTACTCTTCTCCATCCAACGGCTCTGCTGCAGTGAGATAGAGTAAGAAGTGAAGAAGGGATTGGAGAGAGGCCAGAGGGAGAGGAACAAAGAGGGAGACAAAAGAAAGGAGAGAAAGGAGAAGTTGGATGAAGACAAAGTTAATGTTTGAGCTTTGTTCCACCGTAATAAAATTTCCTTTCAAGTTCAACTCTTACTTTTCCCACTCCTTCCTCAGCAGCATGATCTACTGGCCATCATTTTGAACAGAAATATATTTTCCCTTCAACTAATCCAGGTAAGAAACTTTTGAACTTTTCAAGGAATAGTTCAGCATTTTGAGAAATATCTACTTACTTGTCAGGAGTTACACAACAAAGCCAGCAGCCGGTTAGCCTAACTTAGCATTAAACAAGTTCATTTGGACGCATGTTTTCATGTACAGTATCTATACTATACTCGTTAGATGTTCTATGTTTTATCAGATATTTGTTATGTACTACCACTCCTGCTATAGAAGCTGACTTTTTATTTTAACTGTATGCTTTTGCAACTGAAATAACAGATAAAAAAAATAAGAATTTATTATGACCTCCCCTGAGACTACTGCTATTATTTTGCCACCCACATCAGCTTGGCACGGCCACCATTAGCATAGAGGACACTAAGATGCTTTATGAAAGAGCAAGCAAAATGGCCAAACTGACAGAATTCAAGAATCACTGAGAACATTCAGGGACATACTGCATCCAGAATACTGTGTGTTGGGTACATAATGGAACACAATGTCACTGTTGAAATGTCATGTTTCACAGTTCATATTAGTAATAGATATAGATCTTTAAAGGTGTCGGTATGTCCAAAATGAAGGAGTTCATGTCACTTGTTGTATGACCCTGAAGGCAAGACATAAAGCCCAGATCAGACCAAAGATTCATGAAGAGATGATCAATGTGCTGTTCTGCAGGGTTCTAAAAACCTGCAGGTTCACACCAATGCAACTAGATTAGATGGTGTAGCATCTCTATGCAACAACTCTCTGTACTTCTGTTCTGATTTGCAGGCTTTTCAGGCTTATTTTGAGGCTGAATATAATTTGTAGCTTGTTAAAATATGAATGAGGATAGTGATAGTGAGATACTGGCTACAGCAGCACTTGTAGTAGTGATATGTCGAAAAACATAAAATGAGCATCAGATGAACTGTATTCATAATAAATACCCCTCAATAATATAAGTTAGCAGTCAATGAGAATGTGTGTGTGTGAGGGGGCATAAGTACATACATCAAGCAACAGCGACCCACTGTCTAACACCGGCACATATGAGGATGGAAACAGAGGGCTCAGGGGGGACAGAGCACCTGCTATCTGCGGTAATTTTGACTTGACCAGCAGACTTCACTACAAGCCGATTGACTGTAGAAACAGGTGATGTGCTTTACGTTCTAAAACTAGCCGCCAGCAATTAGACCAGCTGAGTTGCAGGTGACACCATCAGCAAGCTTGAATCGAGCTCAGATGGCCAGTTCACACCACTGCAACTGTTCTCTGCAACGTTCTCCAAAGGTTTCACCTCATCGTGAATCACTGGTCTGAACTGGGCTTAAGACATAGGACACTTTATTTTCTTGGTAGGCATTCAACAAAATTATGTTTGGTAACTTTCAGTGTCCTGATCTTGGAACTGATGACGACGATGAGCCTCCGGAGGAAACACCCAATATTTCAAAGGATCTGATTTGTGGATATCTGGGCAAAGATTTCCTGTTCCTGTCATTTCATCAACTCTCTATAAACAGATCTCTGCATATTCACACTTCATGTGATGTGTAAAGTGTGCTTGGTTTTGTTGTTGAATAAAAAGGCCTCAAATTCTAACATAAGACAAGTGTGAGTATTTCTGTGTGTGTATTTGTGTGTGTGTCTGACACCTTTAAGTCCACCGAGACTTACTTTTGATTAAGGGCTAAAATAATTAAGGAGCAATTTGAACTACAGCATGCTTCAACACTCATAGTCCACAATGAATTGTTTCAAATTCACAGTCAGGACATGCTGGGAAACACAGACTGAATGACTGCGATTGACTCTTAAGCTGAAAGCACATTTAATATTCAACCACTTGTTAAGCTGACTTTTATTAGTTGTTTGTCTGAAAGCTTCAATTAACAGAGGAGCAATATCTGCAAATGTCAGACAAAGCATTGGAACTGACTGGAGGAAAACCACAGAGACGACCAGACAGATATCTGACTAATTGTTTAACGAGCAATCCAGCTAATTAGCCATGTAAAGAACACAGCGTCTTGGCATCTCATTAAGGAAGATCTGCTATGTCTTATTAAAGATCTGTGGGAGGGTCAGGAGCAGGAAATGGCAAAGTCTTTTTTGTGCTGCCATATCTTTTGTACTTCACCTTCTCACTACATTTGAAGGTAGCATTGTGGTGAAGACTCTGTGGTATCATTACTTACTAAATTTATTTGGTGGAGGTGTGCTGCATATGATAACACTTTGTTTGCACACAACACAAAGATCTACAGCTTGTTTGTTTGACTTGAACGTCGATTCTACCTACATTTCAACCAATTTCAATGGACTTAATGGACACTGCAGTAACTTAATAAGAAATCATCTGCTTGTGGCCAGTGTGCCAACAGTGCAGATATCTCAGAAAGATGCAATTATCTGCCCTGAATGAGGGAGGGAGTCTCCTAGGACATAGCAAATGTAATAACTACAATAACATTGACTGATTCTTCCCTTAATCTAAGAAAATAAAGAATGATGAAATCTTGGCGGTGGAAATAAATTGCACAGAGGAGATCTCTGGGGTGAGTGTGGAAAATGCATTGTTTATAACAACAGTAAATGTCAGTAGTCTCAATTGTGGGCAAGTTCATGCTCATGTTACGAGTGAGGGGCTGCAGGCTCCACGAGACTGAAGCGTCTCGACCCGAAGAAATGAACCGGCAACTTCAGGGACTTCGATATGGGAGGTTAGCGGAAAAACAGCTGTTCTGCTTTGGCGGACACACATAAATGCTGCACCTTTTAATGCCATAAAGCTCACATAAACAATAGGTAACAACACCCCTGAAACGTCAGTCTGACTTCATACATGGCTCAAGCTCAAACGCCAGATATTTGAAAAAACTGTGTCTGGCCTCAGTGTTTGAAACAGAAAGCAAAAAATAACCAAATGTTCCAAATCAAGTGCATGATGGAGATGGAGGTCAGCTCATACAGTATCATTTCATATTGATTGAAAGATCAGTGGGATCATGATCAAAGTCTAAACCAGATCATACTCAGCTCTCCCTGGACAAACTGCTAGAGTAATGTGATTGGAGAGGTATGATTGAAAATCAGTTGCCATGGAAATTCTATTGAAGCTCAATCTCTTCTTCATTGCTTTGGTTTGGTGCTGGATACACAGAAAGAGAAAACCAGGTGACTGCAAAGATCAAAGAAGAGAGAAGAGAGAAGAGAATTCAAATGAGAGATGAGAGGAAGAGGCTCGACGATTTCTTTCTAAGCGCAGCAATTAACTGTCAGTAATCTCACCTGGTGTGTATGGAGAGCAACTCAATCATGAAGGATGAATAGAATGTGATGTACTGTCTAAAGAAACAATTAATTACAATGCAACATTTCATGCATCTTTGTCAGTGCCCACAGGAGAATACAGCTTCCTGCACATGAAGTGTGTGCTTCACGTTATCTGTTTAATGAAGCGTAATGAAGATAGATTGGTTAATCTTGTCTGGAGGGAATTGATTAGCGTGTGTGTACAGTATATGTGTGCATGTGTATGCACACGTGCCCACGCCTGTCTGCGGAGGCGTAATGTCTCTATGGTGAGTATGAAGTGTGCACGCATGAACTGGGATGAAGACACATTTCCTTTAAGGTTTTCAGGAAGCACTGAGAGCAGTGACTGATTCAAAATGTGCACATTAGAAAAGGGCCATGAATCCTGGCATTACTCTACTATATCATCACATTCCTATGCAAATCTGAATAGAGGAGGGAGAGAGGGTGAGAGAGAGGATAAGAGTAGATAAAGTAAGGGAAGGACAAGGTGTGAGTATCCTACAAACATATATATCTTTCCAGATAAACATCAGCATGTTAGCATGTTGATGTTCAGCAGGCACTACTATCTTAATATGGTATGCTAGCATGCTCACCTTTCCTAATTAGCACAAAACAAAAAGTACAACCGATATAAAATATATTGAAGGTATTTGGCCATAACCAAAAGTAAGCACCAAAATTTTGACCTGATAATGGCGTTAAATGAAAAGTCAGGGGACCAAGGTTAGGATTCATCTCTGGGCACCATGAATATTTGTGCTAAATTTCACCTTAATCTGTTCATCCAATAATTGTCAAGATACTTTACTAAATGATAAGAATATTGATCACATGAGGAGAGAAAGGAAAGGGAAGGTGATCAACAAAGTCAGTAGAGTTCCCCATAAATGTCTGTATAAAATTTCACTGCAATTCATCCAGTAGTTGCTGGGACATTTCAGTCTGACCCAAAATTGCCATTGCTAGAGCCAAACTGCTAGCATGACTAAAAATCCAATAAGTTAGCTCACATTTCTCACATCATTATCATAACTTAATAATTCATTCATCATCCATTCATTAATTTCCTGTAACTGCTAATCCTGTTGGGGGTTGCAGGGGGGCTGGAGTCTATCCCAGCTGACACTGGGTGAGAGGCGGGGTACACCCTGGACAGGTCACCAGACGAACCCCAAACCCCCTAGCTGTAAGGCGACAATGCTAACCACTGCACCACCATGCTGCCAATACTAAATGATGTTAAAATAATAACATTCTGTTCATGTATAACAGCATATTGAGATGATCTCATTCCTACGTGTCATATTTTGAAGCTTGGGAAGAAATCCCCAGCATCATTAACATGACCCTAGGAGCAGACATTTGTGTTGTATCTTGATGCTGAGGGGGTCATCGGTAAGTCATGTGAGTCCACTAAGAAGGGGTAGTGGTTTGGTTTACGTAATAA